GCGTTTGCCAGGGTCAGGAGGGAATTAGGATTTGGGGTTGGGGGTTTTAGGGTTGTAGGGTTTGGGGTTTGGGCGTTTAGGATTGTAGACTCAAATGGAAGAAGTGGAAAATGGCATGAAAATCCTAGTAGGTGTCTTTAGCAGAGTGTATGGGGACTATATTGACTATATAGTAAATCATCCGGGTTTCCTTGTAAGGGTTTCTGGAGGCATATTCTTGCAGTTTACTTGGAAGCGTAGGGTTTAGGGTTAGGTGAATATGGCAGGTGTAACAGTAGTTCTATCCCACTGCTAAACACAATAAGATACTTCGGGAGCTTATGCTTGAGGTCAACAATTAAGCCCTAAAGCCTAACCCCTAAACCCTGAGCCTCCTAAACGCTAAACCCTCGTAGAAGGTTTATGGGCTACAGGCACAGGCTTGGGTCGAAAAAGGTAGTGCCTCAAAGCTTTAGCGCCTTGGGGTAACCAAAGAGCCCAATACCCCTTTATCTGGGATGTGTGGGTCAACATGATGCGATTTAAGCAGTATTACGCAATTGAAGGATATTGGGCTCCCTGGCTATGTAGGTGGGAGGCTAGGACGCCAGATCTAATCTCAGCTTGTTGAGGGTAATGTTACTTGAGAGAGGTTTGATGGATTGTGGAAACGCCACATGCAGCGCTGGGAATTCAGGTTTAAGGTCTGCATGGTGGTAGGCGTTAGGTTTTTTGGGCTCAGGGTTCGCATTGTAATAAGTGGAGGACCTGATGACTGTCATATTATGATTGTCAAATGGTCCTTAACGTAGGGGTTGGGGTAAGCCAAATCCTGGGTCTCAAGTTCAGCAGTCACACAGCTTTCAGAACGAGTGGGTCGTCAATATCTGTTGTTTCCTTTGCATGTGCGGCTTAGTCTTTACAAGTGCATGCAGGGGCCGCTTCACGAACTGCAAAAAGTCCACCGAGCTTGAGGTATCAGATGTGAAGAAGCCCCGCATGGTGAACTCTTGTGCATGAAGCACAATCAATTCCAGGCCCCTCACCAAGATACGCAGATAAATGTTGTACCGTCCAGTATCCTCATCCGTTGAAGGTCTACGAGAGAGAATTTGAGACCCTGTATCTGGAATTTTTCGACAAGACAACTACAGTCCTTGCACTCATGGAACCTCAAACCCTAAACCCTGGACCTAAAGCCCTAAACTCCTAAAATCCTACAGCCCTAAACTCTAAACTCGAAATTTGCAACGGACAGCCACGCGGAGGCATTTGCTTTCCGACATGCAGCATGTCCCTTTGGATCTGGGCACCGATGCTGGGTTGCTGTTATAGAACTTAAAGATAGGATTACATGAGCTATAGTCTAAACTCCTTAAACGGGCTTATCTTGGAGAGTATATAGGGGACTACTACACCAGTTATTAAGGGGGATACATGGATTTTAGACCATGGCTCAAATAGGTCTAGGCTACCATTTCTGGGAATTACTTTGCATCCCTTGATGGCAACTTGGCCTTCAACTCTCTAAACCCCTACACCCGAAACCGCAAACCCTACATCATCATGGCAACTACGTGTAAGTTCCTTCTCAAACTCCCGAATGGATCCCCCCAACAAAGGTAAACTCACAACATTCTGTCATGTTTAGGGATTGCATTTGTTGGATCCCACAGGGGCTAGGTAGGAGAGGGCTCCAGTTCTAATTGGGTATAACCACACGGGTCTTAGGGCTTAGGGGTCTAGTGTTTAGCCTACTCTAAACCAGGTGTGTGCTATCCGCCCATAGACTTCAGTTATTATAGACAACACTCGTGCTTCGTTCTTCGTGTCATACTTACTAGACCATAAGCCCTAAATCAATACATAATACCAGTTTAAACTTCATCTGCTTTTCAATTTGGTTCTCCAATATTGTAATCATCTAGGCTGAAACGGTAAGCCTTGAAACTCTAAACCCCCGACGCTAAACCCCAAACCCAGACCTTTAAACCCAAACCAAAGACCCCCAAAATCCAAACTGTGAAATCCTAAAACTCCTTGAGCCCAGGATACCTTCGTCCCTGGGGCCAAACCCCTTGCAACGAAGGCCTTCAAAGAGCGGCCTTTGCTCCTTTGGTGGGATGATTGAGTTTAGGGTTCAGGGTTTGGGGATTAGGGTCTATGGTCTGGGGTTTGCGGCTTAGGGCCTCTGCCCCTCCGGTTCGATATGAGGTACAGTAGAGGGTTTAGGAACGTTAGGGTGGTAGACCTAGCCTCGAACAGCAAGCTTGCAGAAGACATTTGATTGATTTTGTAATGGTGAGTGGGTCGTCTACTTCCGCAACTCATTTCTTGGTTGCTTAGACCCGTAGCGGGGAGTTTACTTTTTACCAGTCTGCTTGGGTACACGCGGTTCTGAGGTTGCTAGGTCGCAGGCGTCTGGGTTCAAGCCTGGGTCACTCGCAAAACCCCCGGCCCTGAACTCATTGCTTGTTAGTAAAGTTCCCCTGAAGTAGATAGAATATGGCTTTGGGTGTATTCTAACACGATGCCCCATATACCCCATACTCTATCTACCGAAGGGGGACTGCAGGGAATGAGGAATGGAAAGGATATGGAGACCATTGTGTTTTCGGCGAGTGTATATAGGCTGCTATAGAGATACATCCCTTCACTCCCTACTCATACTCAGTAAGAACAGTTTCAACCCATTGTCCAGAAGCTCATGCAGAGCTTTGCGCCACCAAAGACCCCAGACTCTAAAGCCTAAATTTTGTGGCCGTGCTTTGCCCGGCTGGAGCCCAAATCCCTTTTATCCCACAAGCCCCAAGCCTTCGCCCTAAACCCTAACAGTCAAGGTTTTTCTGGTACGACTACTTCTCATGCCCGCAGCTTGAGAAAGATGACCTTACGGCAAGCCAGACGAACAGGCAAACTCTGGGGCTTAGGGTTTAGGGTAGGAGCCTAATAAACTACCAACATTATGGTCCCTTTAAATGGTATGTGGGGGATGTGTCAGGCTTCCCGATTAAAGGTTTTTACATTATGATCCTGGATTCCTTGTTAAATGACGCATAGGATACTTCAAATAAATCTCAAGATGATTTTGGTGAGTATGTAGGCTCTTACAGTGTGCTTCTGTCTATCACGAGGGTAGCTCGGTAGGTGCGCTTTACGCTTTTTAATAACCAGGGGTTCGACAAGATCTTTGCGGGGACTCTCACGCTCGTCGTGCAAAACCATCACTTTGCATGAGCGCGTGGTCACTTTGCATGAACGCGTAATACTGCTTTGCAGAATGTGAGTTTGATTTCAGTTCTTCTGGTGTGCAGGAACTGCTTGTCCAGGTTCCAAGATTTTTCCCACCCACCCGCCCTGAGGGATTTTTGGGCCAGGCTCAACTCTCTTCTTCGTGACAGGTGCGAAATCATATACCAGCAGCCGATGTGGCTGCCAAGTAGTCGCCCGAAAAGTTGGCGCAACCGTTGGATGGCCCCCGATGGCCGGATGAGGTAAATTCAGGAGGGTGGGTCCAGTGGCCCGCCCTCCCAAGTACAACTTTTAATTTGCTGCCAAAACAGTGTGTCTGTCCGCCGCGTTAAGGGAAGTGATTGCTTGAATCCTTTCATAGATTATTGACCGAGGGATTTGACCCCTTCCAGTGGCGTGCACATCCAAACTTTGACCTCTGGACACAGATCGTGGCGTTTCTAGTAGCACGGGGGAGAATGAGATTAGTAGGCAAAAACATTTATTTGGGACTTCACTCCCTTTCAAACCACAAGTCTTCACGGCCACAAAGCAAAGGAGCTCACGTCTATTAAGCTTGCCTATACAGCCACTCTGATGTTGCACGAAATTTTGTCACGCTGATGCCGTGAGGACCGCTAGAGGACCACAAGTCCAGGAACAGGAAGGCGAAGACTTGGGGACCCGCAACCAAACCCACACCAAGCCTCCGTGCCCCACGGACCTCAGCAACTGCGTGTCATGCTTGCAATGACCAGCCCAAGAAAACCCTAAACCCCAAACGCCTGAACGCAAAGTAGTAGCCGAATTTTCCGGAGCCCCTTCCATTTGATTCGCCGCTATCAGGAATAAACTTGCCTGCTGTTGCAGAAGCAGCCTGTGTTGACCAGCCCCTAGACCCCAGCCCATCATTTGGGCAGCTAGGCTTGCCAGATAACCCCAAATAAACTTTATGACACCCCTATATAATCCTCATACAGCCCCTCTTAAAATCCCGATAAAAACCCAC